CTTCCACGTTTAATAATTTCATAACCGCTCATTCTATATTTGTGTATGTGTATCAGTTATCATCCCTACCAGTTACATGTGTCGCCTAAGGTTCCTATTTAAGCAACTTTGTTTTATCTGGGCGCCTTAGCCGTACCCATCTGCAGTTTTTTTTCTCACAATTTCCACCAGAATAGCAGCATTCGACACTTCGTCTGTCATCTTTAGCTCTCTGATAACGTTACAGTAACATTTATTAGTTTATTGTTCTTCGGGGGCTGCTCAAATACTTGTCAAGCTTTTGGTTTGCTTTGAAATTAGCCCCACATGTTACCACAGCTACATTGTACTTTGAATACCATGGGAACCAGCTGAACACTGCACAACTGCTTAAAGTATAAACCAAAAAAGTGGACATATACATTTGTGGAAAAAGGTTTAGCTATGGGGCTGTCTCTAAGATTATATTCACTAAATGGTAATAAGTGCTCAAGAAATTACACTGGAATGCTAAATATTATTGTTCCACTGCGGGCCGGGCAGCAAGATCTAAGGTCCCTAGCTAAAACAAGGAACCTTGGCAAGATCCTTCCATCGCTTTCTAAGGGGTGGCATAGGGTGGGGGTGCATGCTGGAGGTGAGGTGGGGCGAAGTGCTGGTCGGTGCTTCTGACTGAAATGACAGCCCGTACTGGCTCGGGTGCACTTTGTAAAGTATTCGGCTGTGCGGGAATGTAGCCACTCCAGCCACTCTGTCGAACGAGTTCACAATGACGGTTACAAACGGCACAATCCCGTGCACAACAGAGAAGCGCTCGTGGTGCGCCAGCATTTGGTTAACATGCGGGAAGACCAGTGCTACAGCGAGTTTGCTGGAAAGGCCACGCTCACTATGACGCTTTTCTAATGCCCATCGTTCAGTATTCCAGCACATTTCTGCTACTTGCCGCTGATGGTGGGGCGACGACATCGTCGCAAAAAGTTCATCACTTCGGGACAGTGAATGCGGCGATGAGTCACAAAGGGTACAACGTGCGTGTCTGTTGGCGTCACTCACAAACGTCTCTGTACGCGCACGCTGTAGTGCCGGGACGCCCCACTCGTAGAACCCTAACTTGTCGTTAAGTTGCGTGCACCCGCATTGCGGTGCCGCAGTCTCTTTCATAGTCATCCAGCTAATATAACATGCACCACGATTACCTGGCATCCTGATTGCGAAAGTGGACGTATTTTTTCAGAAAAAGCTGTAATCGCAGTGCTGCTAGTCGAGCGTTCGTTCCAGACTGGCCGCGGTTTTTTCCTGTGTGCTCACAAGCGGCTGTGATCACTCGTCACAACGTCACAACAAAGTGCTGCCCTGTGGTAAGTCAGGGTCACAGGATCCAGCAAGAAGAACGTTAACTGTGCCACATCACATGCACGAGCAAAACACATTCGGAGAACTGACGAACTGCGACGTACGATGCGAGACGCCATGGCTAATGGTGTGAAATATAGAACTTGCACAACGTTGCCAGTTGGGTAACACACATCACGCTTCTTCTTATGTTGTACCGCTTATTTTCAACTAAGTAACCTTTTATCCTAGGTCTCGTTTACTTCTCATTTGGTATAATTATTTCTATCCACCATAGTAACTGAACACAAGCGTTCGCTTTTTTATGCACGCTTTGACCCTTCTGGGGTGCGCTTCAGGCAAATAAGCGTGGAGGAAAAGGGAGGGTGTCACTACCTGCCAAACTTTTTTATCTAGGGTTCCTTCCTCTGTGATCTACGGATGGATGGATGGATGCTATGAGCGTCCCCTTTATAACGGGGTGGTGACAAGTATGCCACCAGGCTCGACAAAAAAAAAAAAAAAAAAAAGCCTTTTTTCTTTTTTTTTTTATGTTGGCCTAATGCCTCTACTTCGATAAATTCTATCTTAATGGAAAAAAGGTAAATTTTCAGCTTAAGTTCTCTGCCATTTACGGCACACTGTCCATATTTTATTTTTCCAATATTTATTTTTGTCCTTTCTCTCTAATTTTCTGCCACCAATACTCTAACCGTCTCTTACTTATTTCAATCGTGGGTGTGTTCAGCTTTCCATTGTTGTCCCTAAAACCCAAGGCTTCCTGTAGGCTCGTGCCCAAACGTACACCTGGGTGGATATCTCCACATTCAATCAGAACATGCTCCGCCGTTTCCTTATCTTTCCCGCAGCATGTGCATTGTTCTTCTTCTTTACTGAATCTTGCTTTATAACTACGCGTTCTAAGGCAACCCGATCTCGCTTCAAACAGTAAAGCGCTTCCCCTTGAATTATCGTAAAATGCCTCCCTCCTTATTTCATTTTTGCCCTTTCGGTAGTTACTCAAAGCCGGTTTTTTCTCCATAGCTGCCATCCATGCAGTAAATCCTCTCCGCCTCCCTGACTTTTCCCTTAACGCTCTTTGTTGACATATGCCTCACAATACCAGCCATATATTTACTAGTGAGTCTTCTAGTTCTTTTTCTCCACTGTGTGTCCACGCTCTTCCTATACAAATAACGGAACACCTTCTCTGCCCATCTACTCTCCTTCATATTTCTTAGCCTTTCTTCGAACCTTATTTTGCTCTGCGCTTCCCTCGCCTCAAAACCTGCCCACCCCATATCGCCCTTTACAGCCTCGTTTGTCGTCTTCCCGTGAGCACCCAACGCGAGGCGTCCCACAGTCCTTTGATTTACATCCATTCCCGATTGCACCTCTGCCCTCATGCACACCACTGAGTTCCCAAAAGTAAGCCCTGGAACCATTACACCCTTCCACAGACCTCGAAGCACCTCATACCTATTGTATCCCCACAACGCTGTGTGCTTCATTATTGCCGAATTCCTCTTTCCTTTTGCTGCCGAGGCTTTTTCCTGTACCTCCATGTATCTATCACTCTCATTTACCCATACTCCAAGGTACTTGTATTCACTTACCCTCGGTATTTCTTGGCCTTGTATGGACACCGTCTGATCACAGGGATCATTGAATACCATCAAACCACACTTCGTTACACTGAATCCTAGTCCAAGAGCTTCACCTTCCCTTCCGCATATATTCGCCAGCTGCTGTATATCATCTCGACTGTCCGCAAATAAGACGATATCGTCCGCATAAAATAAACCTGGAAGCTTCTGCTCAATCATCATGCCGCCCTGTTTGTGTGACAGATTAAAACCAATGTTGCTACCTTCTAGCGCTTTTTCCATACTCACCATGTACAGCATGAATAACAGTGGGGACAAAGGACATCCCTGTCTCAGACCCCTGCTAACCTCAACGTTCTCTTTGCTACGCATTCCCTCCCACTCTATGCAAACTGTATTTTCTCGGTATATCTCCCTCAAAAGCTGTATACAGTCGTCGCCCATGCCCATTCCTTTCAATATATCCCACAAAATTTCCTGATTAACGTTGTCGTATGCCCCAGTGATGTCTAGAAAAGCCACGTACAAGGGCCTATTCTCTATTTTAGATATTTCTATACACTGAGTGAGAACAAACAGGTTATCGTCTAACCGCCTGTCGACTCGAAATCTGTTCTCAAGTTCTCCCAAAATATCGTTATGTTCGGCCCATGTTTCTATTTTCATTTTTACTGCTTGCATCGCCAACCTGTATAGTACCGATGTAATGGTTAGTGGTCTATACGAGCGAATCTTGTCCTTTTCTCCCTTGCCTTTATAGATTAAGTTCATTCTACTTTGTCGCCAACTGTCCGGTATTTGTCCGTCCTTTAAGCTTTTTTCTACTGCTTTTAACAATGCTTCTTTAGTGTTATGTCCTAGTTCGTTAATGAGGCTAACGGGAATCCCATCTAAACCCGCGGCAGTGCGCTTTGGAATTTTTCCTTCGGCCTTTTTCCAGTTGAAATTATCTAGTACTAGCTCTTCCTCTGTTGCTTTCTCCGCCACACTTTTACTCACCGGGGAGATCCCCTGGACGCTCTTTTGAAACGAATCGGCTGTTACCTTTTGGATGTAACCTAGCGCTTCGTACCCTTCCAATTGATTTCCTCCTTCATCTAGAATATGTTGTTGCGTTGTGACAGACTTCCTACCTAGCGCCTTTATGTGGCTCCAAAAAATCCTAGGCGCGGCCTCCTTTTTTTCGTGTATCTCTGTCATCCAGCGTTCACTTTCACCTTTAATTTTTGCCTCTACCAATTTCTGTACAAGGGATTTTTTCTCCAAATATATTTCCCATATTTTTTTTTACTTCGTCCTGCGGCCGCTTCTCCTTTTCTGCCTTTCTATGCTCCCGTGATGCTTCGCGTCGCTTCTCGATCGCCTCCCGGATTTCCTTGTTCCACCAACTTTTTGGCTTCATTTTTCCTTTCCAGCAAACGGTTTTCTTCTCTTTCCCTATCTCCTTCGTCATTAGTTGTAACAGCTCCCTATACTCCCAGTCCTTGCCTGGTATTTCGCCTACTTCTTCCTCGACTCTTGCGGCTATATTTATTATTTGTTTGTCATTTAAATACGAGCTGCCAGACTTTGATTCCATGCTCATATTTTTAGTTTCGTATCCCATTTGTAATGTTATTCGTTTATGATCACTACCCAAGCTGTTAATGCCTTCCTCGTCTATCCTCATTTCTGTCAGTTTGTGGTAAATTCCTTCAGTCATGAGACAATAATCAATACTTGATTGCTTGTTTCCGACTTCCCATGTGATCTGGCCGTCACATTTAGGCCCCGTGTTAACTATCTCCAGACTATGTTGCTCGCAAAGATCTAGTAATAACTTCCCATTGGTGTCTGAATATCCGTCAAGGTCATGTATGTGGGCATTCGTGTCCCCTAGAAGGATGATTTCGGCCTACGGCAGCTCGCCTGTCGCGCCATCTGTATCACAAACGCTTTCGACGTGGAAGAAAAATTTAGTTAAGCATAGTTGTGTTATTATTTTTTGTTTTATTTTGTAAATTGTTTATGTGGCGTTCTTCTCATTAAAAGACGCACAAATGACGCAATCATGCGCCACCGCAGGAAAGGGGGGTGTGACACCATTGTGAAACAACAGCCGCGATCATATGTTCTCTGGCAGGGTCGCAGCTAGTCAGTAGTGTCAGTAGCCTTGGTCAGTGCTGGTTGAACTGTACGTAGTGTGAGCGTTGCGGTAGTCGCCGTGAGTCATCGCTAAGTGTCGTTTGCCCCCACGAGAAACTATGAAGTGGACCGTCGCCTTCGCCGCCTGCCTCGCGTTTGTTTCAGGTGAGCACTGTACCCGCATCGCAGTGTAGTGCGCTCGCTGCCGTCTAGCCTCCGTTTTTCGCCCGGTATCCCTAAACGAACGGACGCGACAAGGGCGAGTCAGTCAGCTGACGCGCGTTGTGTCGGACAGTGCGCACTTTGCTCATGCCTGCATGGAGGCTCGTGGGGCGTTGTTCGCAGTATTTTTACTCGGTACACCGCGCTTCCACATTGTGGTAGTGCTTCTCGGTGCTGTGCGCTATCTGATTGACGGTCACGTGGCGGCAGATTTGGCGTGTGCCGCCCCCATTCCTTGTTCAGGAGTGATCTAAGCTAGAGTGATAATGAACCCTGGAAGTAGAGTTGTAACGGGATTACACAGAATGGCCGTGCCTCGCGTGAACTGTTTTTGTCGACCAAAGGAAACTCCGCATGGAAAGTTTGTGATTTGTTGCAACACTTGCTGTGCACAACTGCTCAGCGAGTCTGTGCGAGTTTGTCGCAACTGGGCTCCTTATTGCGGTTTCTTGCTCGTACCCTTTAATTAGAAGTTTGCTTAAAATCCGTCTAGCGCGCTGCTTTATCTGTGTGTTGGCAAAAGCTGTTTCCATGCTATCCAGTGTCATGACATTACTGGAATGCTCGGTACATGTTTTTGCTCATATCTCTTTTCAGCGCAAAATGCGACGCTGCCATACTCCAGCCAAAACACGACCGCCCCCGCAGGCACCACAGCGGCGGCGGCGAAGACTACGGCTTCGCCACCGACAGCAGCGTCGAAGGAGGCCACAGTGAACAGCTACAATGTAACTGTGCCAGGCACTAACCACACCTGCATCATGGTTGAGGCAGCCATGCAAGTCAAGGTTGTCTACGCAACAAAAGACGGCCAGGTGAGCGTGCTATTTTCAGTGACAGTCACGTGTATGAACAGTTGCGGTTACAAGGGGGGTGTATCCCAGTAGGAACAAGTAGCGCATCGTGCCTTGAAATGCCAGTTGCAACATCGAGGTCTAGATATGAGATGGCTGGTAAAGTAGTTGTGTGGTTCCATGCACTTATATGACTTTATTTTGCTTACAAGGTTGGTGGGGAAAGCCAAATGGTTCACGATGTCGCTAGCGAGTGCGGCACTTCTGGGAAGGTAGAAACGTTTGAAGTTGTCTGTTCAGAGTCCGAGCATGTTAGCATCCACTCCTTTGCACAGCCGTACCTTTTCCTCACAGCGAGAACACATTTTTCTGTCGGTTCTGAATAGCACACTGCATTTAACAGATGCCTTGTGACTACTCTGCAGTGCCATGCACATGAAATGGCTTGGGAAAAGAAACTGACCGGGGCATTGTGGCTCCTTGAGCTGTCGTACTAAGCACTGTCGTAGTATGGCTGTTGCATACAGTGTGGCTGTTCACCAATGTGGCCGCCGCAGTAGGACAGCAGCGATATGTAAGCAGTGTATACAGGAGTCATTGTAGCAAGAGAAGTAAGCAGTGTATACAGGAGTCATTGTAGCAAGAGAAATAAGTGGCCTCTTCCACAATGTGGTTCAGGTGCTATGTACAGTCGAATGCATAATATTAGAGACCACGGGAGCGCATTCCGAGGCGCGTCGCTGCGCCTTCAGGCGGCTGCACGACTCGGTCCGGGAGCGCGTACTGCGCACGCTCGTCCCATATCACTCGGCACCCTGCCCTTTCACTCGTTTCAACGGAGCGCATCTCGAAACGATGCAGACTGCGCAAGGTGCCACTTCTGCAGTCGCTGTGCAAGCACCGGTACTCCCGAGCGATAATATAGCAGTGAAAAGGCCTCTAATGTAATAGCATGGCTCGAGCGCACCATGCAATACGCTTTCTTCCTTGATGCAGCGCGGAAAACATGCAGTTTCTCAGCTTTTCTCAAACGGAGGTGCGTGATATGCTCATCTTGCAGTGATGAATTTTGTGCTCAGTCTCGGAGACGTTATGCCAGCTCCATTTCTTGGTGTGAATATCGCGCGTGCAGTGGTATGCAGTAAACCACTGAATATCGCGCAAACAGAATGAATAGCCAGGAAACGCTATAGTTTTATTCTTATAAGCCAGAAAAAAGAAAAAGAAAAGAATGTTGCTCATTCGGGGTTCTTTAACGTCCACTCGGTATACTAGTTTCAAGTATCTCTCTATCGAAATACGGCATGCGCGACTAGACTTGAAGATGAGTCTTTCGGGTCAGCAGCCAAGCATCGAAACCACTGTGCCACCGCAGCGGCCTTAATAAACTCGGTTTATTAAGGATAAATGCTTTGTTTTCACCTTTCTTCCTCGGCTCTTTTCTGCAGCTGTCGGACGTTTGGTGGTTTCATGCATGTTCATAGACACATATTTGGACCGAGTATTACTACGTGCGTTCGGTGAATGAGAGCGCAAAAGGCAACACTGCTGGCTGAGCTTATTGATTGCCTAACTCGACATTCAAAATGTGATCGCGTCGCGGATCGCCTAGGAGTAACGTGCACTATGTGCAGCACGCCGAAACCCGCAAATGATGTGTTGTTGTCACATTAGCGCTCGGCTTTTTTCATTTTGTTCACAGAGGCTACAGAAGTGACACCTTGCACCGTCCGCATTGTTTCGAGATGCGCGCCGTTGAAACTAGCGAAAGAGCAGGCTGCCGGGTGATATGGGACGTGCGTGCGCAGTAGGCGCTCCCGGACAGAGCCGTGCAGCCGCCAGAAGGCGCAGCAACGCGCCTCGGCACGTGCTCCCATGGTCTCTAAAATTATGCACTCGACTGTACCTCACGTTTATTTCATTTTCCTGCAATGTTTCGACTAAATATTTCATTTTGATACTTTTGAAATGATATAGCAGTACGCTGGGAGTACAGTTATGCAAGTATTTTTTTTTTAAATAGAAAAAAGTAGAGGTGCAGTTTTTTCTTTGCCTTGTGTGCACATAAGTTGCCATCAGAAGTACAGGTTTCACAAGTATTGAAAATTGGGCTAGTAAGTTTGTTGTACTTGAACTGGAATGGCCGAGCCGGCCAACACAATACTGCCGGCTGATTTTTATTGAAATTGGATAATTTTGTGCCAGCATGCAAAAAACACCAGAGCATAACTCCAAGATAAGACAACACCATTGTAATGTCGCAAACAGGTTTCACAGGTGGTTTACCCAATTAAAGAGACACTGAAGAGAATTTTGTGCAACTAAGATTTTCAGCCAGATAGATATACTAGGTGCTGAAATCGATTGACACAATATTTGTTCCAGGCAGAAACTAAAGGAAAGTAATGAATCTGCCTTGTCCACAATGCCGGGGCGCATGCGCCCTTCCTAGCGGAAAAGTCTCGAAATGACTCCTTGTCTCGGAGGCCTTCGTTCTAGCCATGCTACTTCTCTCAGCCCCTACCGAAATGCCAAAGGGCAGCACAGGAAAAATGAAAAGGCAGATTCAAACGATTTTTTCTCACACCATAGTCAGCGGCCATACCGTGAACTAGGCTAGGTGGTTTTACAATGTCAGATAGGCGCATGCCAGCAGTATCTGCTCAACCCACTCGGCTCTCCCTATGGTTCCCAAAAGCACTACGAACAGCATTGGCAGTGAGCAATGCTCTCAGCTGGGATAAAAAACAGATTATTTGTGTGCGTAGAAGGGGGAGAGTGGTATGAAAGGAGGGGGCGGATTGAACGAAGACGAGAACACGTGCACCCTGCATGCACTTCCGTCATGGCTCATGCAGCCGCCGTACATTGGGAATCCACCAAAAATACAGCCAGCTGTTTAAAAACACGTGGAATAAACTCTTTTGATCAGAACGGTCACGTTTTCAGTGTAGAATTAGTTTTTCCAAATTATTTCAGTTTTTCTGTTGGAAGAACACTTAAATATCAGATAAGGCCAAGGAAGGGGTACTGACACAGATTCCAGCCCTTGCTGTATCATGTTTCTGCAATTCCTTGCGTCGTTTGCGATGGTTGCTTTTGCAACACTTGGACTGCACTTGGAGGAACGTCCACACTCCTGATAGCAAATGCTAATCTCTTCCTGGATTGCTTTGTGCGCATTGTTGTAGGGCTCTTCAAGCCCTTCTATTAAGGCAGCACCTTGTGCGGCCTACATACCTGTTACCAGAGAAATTGGTATTCGGTAAAGAAACCCCACAACACAAGCTGCATTTTGTGCCTAAACAAACAGTGGCGCAGTTGTAGGGAACTGACTCGTTTGTAAAGCCGCTGCTGCTTAGTCCCTGAGTTTTCGCAGGTCTTCTTCAGTTCATTGGAAATGTAATGCACACAGGGTATGACAACAGGGCAGTCATTACTTTTCTGCTGAGCCTTGTTAATCTGTTTTATTAACTTTTCAGCTAAGGATGGCTGGTTACCTAGTGTGCAAAAGCAATCTGAATTGAGCTGCGAAACTGCTGCTGCTTAGTCGGGGCCAAAAAACATCACTTCGACGATAGTTTTCGCAGGTCTTCTTCAGTTGATCGGAAATGTAATGCACACAGGGTATGACAACAGGGCAGTCATTACTTTTCTGCTGAGCCTTGTTCATTTGTTTTATTAGCTTTTCAGCTAAGGATGGCTGGGTACCTAGTGTGCAAAAGCAATATGGATTGCGCTGCGAAACTGTGCTGCATGACGTACCGTGATTTTGAGTAATTTGGTGAGGCAGATTAGTAGTACTTCGCCGAACTTGAAGTTGGTTGAGTCAAAGGGCCAGAGGTTTTCTAGTTCTTAATTGATATAGCCTGCACTAATCAGGTGGAAGAAAGAAATCAAAATGTAAAAGATGAGATTTATTAGAAGGAAGAAAGGTCCGCTTGAGCTGTTGTGAATTGGCATCTTGAGTCGATACAAGTGCTTTCAAAGGGACTAACAACTGCTCGGAACATGAAATGTGTTAACTGCATTGAGCAACCCTAATTTTTTTGTCAGGTGGATTTATTTTCATTTCGTCATTGAAATCTCTGAAAAATTACCCGTGTTATCCCTACTGGCAAAAATATGAACACACCGATCTAGTTGGCCACATGACCATTGATTGCCATACTCGGTCAACATTTTTTCGTTAGTATTAGTTTCTTGATATTAAAGGCCAACTCTGCTTTTTCGACCGTGACAAGGCAATGGGGTTTCAATGTTCCCGAGACTCTTGTCGTGAACCGAATAGCTGAAATGTGCTGGAAATTCGAAAATTTTTAACAAGCATAAAGCCAGTTGTGAAACCAAAACCCAACAGAGCGCATTGTTTACATATGACATACTGTTTGGTAAAAACCGAAAGTCTTATCCTGGTCCCGCCGGCGCAGAGTATGAAAGCTGAAAGCCAGGCCAGGAAAGCGCCGACCAAAAACGCAACAGAGGAAGGAAGCTTCCCCATGCCAAACCGTTACTAGATTCTTCTTCGGTTTGCAAATTCCGCTGGGACGAGGCAGGCGAAACGCGGCCCCTTTCGTTTCCCGCTCTCTAGGTGGCGCTTCCGATGCCATTTGACTGGTCGCCACGACATAATGGATCTTATGCAGTGTTAAACGGAGTTCTTGCCGTTAATTTGGCGTTGCAGGAGTTATTTTCCGTGATGGTACACTAAGGTTATTACGAGTGGGCTATTAAAGCACCAGTTGGCTAATGCGGTGCCACATGGCAGAGATGCGTGTGCGATGCCTGAATATTGCAGGCATTGTGTTATTTTAGCCGTATTGCGTTCTTGTTCTTTAAATTCAACCATATATATTGAAAAACCGTTGCAGTGGGCTCAAGGGTAAATGCTGGAGGACTATGCACTTGAATTCAGGTGCACGTTAAAGAAACCACAGGTGGCTAAATTTTTCAAAGCTCTTGAACACGCCGTGCCTCATAAGCGTATAACCTTGGTTAGGGTTATATGATGAGGCACACAC